GGCAAGAGTGTAAACCCTATTTCTCACATTCTAAGAAAGTGAACATGACTAAAGAAAAATGCTGAATTCATGTTCTGAAACATGAAAAAACCTATAAAGAGAGAGAGAGAAAGAGTGCGTATTAAGAAATTTAGAATGTCTTTCTTGAGTCATACCTCTCACCATAAGTCAAAACTTGTCTTCCTATATCTTCTGAAACAACCATCTGAAAAATCATTAGCTTTAGTGATTAGATAGTTACCAAAAAATATAACTAGAAAAATTGAATGAAAATTGGAAAATATTTTTTTTCCATTGTAATTTCCAAATAAAATTTCATTTGAGATGGATTTACTTACTCTTGATTCCAAATTCATCAAAATTGCAGATTTGGTAGCCTGTTTAGCTCGATCTAGCTGTACCTGGTCAACTACAGACAGAAATCAGAAGGATAAGTGTCGAGCTACCAATCTAACCCTTTGTCTTTATGGAAATAGAGATGAAGGAAATTGAAAGAAGGAGCTACCAATCTAACCCTTTGTTTTAATGGAAATAGAGATGAAGGAAATTGAAAGAAGGAGCTACCAATCTAACCCTTTGTTTTTATGGAAATAGAGATGAAGGAAATTGAAAGAAGGGAAATCGGATTGAAATGCCAAATTTCCACTATTTGGCTGAAAGGAGAAATGGGAATGAGGAAAGTTCTCACGGAAGTCACCTAAAAATCCTTCCTCCCCCAAATTGGCATGAAATTATGTGGAGGGAAAAATGCTCTCTTTTATTTTTTGTTTTAATTGCATAAAAATCAAATAAACAATTTATACAACATAAAAATAAAGATAAAAAAATAATTTTATGTTAGGAAAAAAAATTGAAGTAAATTTACTTTTTTTAATTAGTACTTTGTTGAGTGCCTTTTATTCATGAATTTTACTCAACTTTTGGCACTCTTTTTTGGATAAATTGTAAATATATTTATGATAATTTACCCCTAAATAGGAAAAATCAAGTTTATATTAAAAGTTATTAGAGTAGCAGAAAATTAATGGTGATTTTCCTTTTTGTTGCAGAAAAATTAAGGAAGACAGAATTCTACAGCCATAGCTGGGGAGCCATCAGGAAGTCAGAAACTTGCAGCTATGATTGTGGTTTTGCAGCCATAGTTGTGGAAACCCGCAATGCAAAAATGGGATTCGAGAGAGTTACAGCCATAGCTGTAGGTCCACAGCTAGAGCGGTGAGGCACTGGAGATCAAGAAAAATTACAGAAACTCACAGCCATGGTTGTGGTTTCACAGCTACAGCGTTGGAGATTGCTTAATCATGAAGGAGCCTCCACAGCCATGGCTGTGGATTCCACAGCTGCAGCCATGGAGCTTCCTTCAACATAAAGAATTCTCCACAGCCATGGCTGTGGTTTCACAGCTGCAGCGGTTGGATTAAAATCATGTTTTCTCCCCTATTTTGAAGGAAGTATAAAAGGAAATGAGGAGAGAGAAAGAGAATATGAGGTGAAAAGAAGAAAATAGGGAAGAACAGAGCGGGAACGAAGATTTGGAAGCTAGATCATTTGGGAACAAAGATCAACTTCTTTTCTTCATCTCTTCCTTTGTAATTTCTTCTTCCACTCCTTTGATCTTGTAAATGGCCATGAGTGGCTGAATCCTTGAGGATTGATCCGAATGTAACTACTAACTCTTCTTCTTCTTAAATATATATGCATTTTATTCTCATTACTTGTGCTTGATTCTTCTCTTAATACTTATATCAGTTTGATCACCCGTTGTAGGATTTTTGGTTTTTGAATCTGGTTGGAAAGCGTTTTTGAAAACCCGAACTAAATTTTGCACCTAAACATCTATTGTTCAAGGGATAGACTTGATATGGTTAGTCACCTTTGTTCAAGTCATTGTTCTTAATGTAAAGTGTTAATCTCAAAACATAAAGGAATCATGTTTTAGATTAATCACTTTAGGATTCAACTTTGAGGGATCTTGTTGAATTACTAGATGAACATAGAAGTAATGAAATTGAAATCACATTTATTTTAAGAAGATTTAAGAGTAAGCAAGTGCTCGGGAGTTCAATCCTTGTTTCTTATAATTGATCTTATAAATTTTACATTATCGTTCTATTATTGTACTTCATATTAATTCACTTCTAACCACATCAATGTCCCTTTATAAATCATTAGAGTAAGAATTACCAAACTCTCTTTTATTTTTTGTTTTAATCGCATAAAAATCAAATAAACAATTTATACAACATAAAAATAAAAAATAAAAATAATTTTATGTTAGGAAAAAAAATTGAAGTAAATTTACTTTTTTTAATTAGTAATTCTCATTATTTATTTATTAATTTTATTTATTTCTACTCTCTTTTCCTCTCATCCAAATAAAAGAGGAATGTCTTCACTTCTTTCCCTATTTCTATCCATCCCGATAACAATTTTTTTCTACTTATTTCTCTTTTATTTTTATCATTCTTGTTTATTTTCTCAGTATTACACTTCTAATCCAAACAGAATATAAATGTGATAATCAAGAAACGAAATACTAGTCAAGAGCATAACAGCAAACCTTGTCCAGAAGTAGCAACGGCAAGAATCTCATTAGCGGCTATATCAATGGCTTTTGATACAAAATCTGAACCCTAATAAATAAACACAAATGGGTCACAGATGAGTAAAAAAGATTATGATACTAATTAGATTTTATACAGTCATAGTCAAGAGCAAGGAGCAGATCAGATGATCACATCATCACACACATATAATATATATAATGATTCTAGGCATTTTGGCCAGTAAATAGGTATAATTCTACCTAGTTGAGTACATGGAATGTAGGGAATGAAAATTTTGAAATGAAGAACACCTTCCACTTTCTTGGAAGAACAAAGACTTGAGAAGGTAAAAAAGTAAACAGTACACATTTTCACCAGGGAATAAATTAGGTTGAAAAAGAAAAAGAACCGCAATGGGTTATATTTATGAAGCAATGGATAAGGTTAGAGACAATTCAAAAAGTTTTCAATGGCAATGAAGATGGGAATTTTTATAATCATTGATAGAAGATGGAAATGTCAACTTCATCCATTGCATGCAGAGTTATTTTCTAAAACATTAGTACTGTGGAAATCCAAAAATGATGGTTAAGTGGTAGAAGGTCTTTACCAATGAATTCAAAGGCTTAGTTAAAATGTAGAAGTTGTCAATATATAAGAGGGTTGGAGGCATCTTTAGAATGAATAAAACAATAAGAGAAAGGACTACAATGATCCTGTTGAAAATTTTGTTTCTTATAAATTTGATTACATTTGATAATTCATGTTAACACTTAACACTAATGCGTATAATATTAGTTATTCCAGCACAATAATGCTTAAGCATAGCAGGTTGTATGGCAATGACATTATATTCCTGAAGGCACGAGAAACACCATCACAGCCCCCTTGCACATGGCAAGTCTTGCAAAACAAATCGAACATGCATAACATGTTGAAGTCTAGCCTAAAAAACATGCTGAAATGTTAGTTTTGGTTTCTTCAAGGTTTAATAGAAGCTTAGTTACCATACAATACATATAAAAATTGACCAACATAAATATTCTAATGAGGAGTGCTAATAACACTTTTGAATGAACTCTTTTATACATCATTTTTTCATTGGTTGAAGTTTATTGAAAATCAAAGAATCAAAAAAGAAAATCATTAAAAAGACTTGGGACCCACAATTTCGTAATTTGCAATAAAAATCAACTCATAAGAGTGTGTTCAGAATAGTCTATCATAAAGTGTGTTGCTAGCATTTCTCATATTCTAATATATCCATAAACTATGATTCCATAATGGATAGGATTCAAACGGGCTTACCGTTGTAACTTGGATACCAAAAATGCCGGTGTTATTGTAAATATTGTTGAATGCTGAAATTGAATGAACTTGTGGATATTCATTCAGAACATTAAGATCTGCATGTCATAAAACCAAAAATGTTAAAGGTAATACAATTTAACAACAATTAAAAGAATACATTTCTTTGTGGGGGAGGGGGCACACAATGTGCTTAGCTGCAAAAATTGAGCAATAAAAGAGCAAGTATAAAAGTAATACATCAAATATTGACCGCCACAAATAGTAGTCATGTAATGCATCCTTATAAGTAACTGAGTATCGGTAGTTGTTTCATTATCTGTTCCTAACTTCAACTTCAAAGTTTGAAGAAACTAAATATTTCAAGATAACTTACACAGCCTTGAATACATTCCTTTACCAGGGCCACCAGCCGAGAACGATCCACCACCTCCCAATAGCATCTATAGTAAAATGATATAATATAGTTAAATACAAACTTAAATAACAGAAACCATATTGTAAAGCGCAAACATACTTTAAGAAACCAACTAGACAATACATGTTCCAGAATATTTTTACCCACCATAAAAGAAGGAAGGGAAATAAGTGTAAAAAAGCAAGTAAATATAAGACATCAAAACCTGAAGAACAGTCAAAACCATAGAATCCTTCAACTTATGCCAGCCACCAGGAAGTTCAAATGCTAGAGCAAAATGGGTTCTCTGGTCATTCAAGGAGTGTTAGACTACAAATTTCAGCCCAGAAAATAGAAACCCAATGTTTGAACAGAAGTTATATTTTTCTATTGCATACCCCTGATTCACTTTGACATCTATAATCACCACCAGTATATACTGATTTTGGTTCCTCTGGACGTGGAACACTAGGTAAATCAGACAGAAGAGGTTCTGCAACAGATAACAATTCCCCGTGTTCAACACCAGAAGCTGCAAGTACTATCCGAGGTGCTGTATAGTTCTCCTGATGTTTCATAATAGTTAAGTCTTATAAGAAAGGTAAAAAACTGCTAAGAATATTTAAAGTTTTGAAATACAAATTAACATTATTAAGTACTATATAAAGAATAATTTTTAAGACTTACAGCAACAAACTCCTCCAGAATTGTACCATTTAGATTATTTACTGCTGATTCTGAAGCTAAAAGAGGATTTGCCAAGGCACCTGAAAAACCAGCAGAATGAATTGCTTCCAAAAGCAAGTCTTGAGGATTTTTGGAAACTTCACCAATTTCAGCTTTCACTTTTAGAAGCTGCATATAATTGCAATATTAATACAAGAAAAAATTTCTAAGGGTCCCACAACATGTAAGCATTATTAGGAACATAGAAGTCATTGCTAATTGGTTAATTTTATACAAAACTAACTTTGTCAAGTGAGAATATACAATTTTTTTGAAAGAGAGACAATTATCAATCTTCTGACTCAACAACTTCTACAAACATAACATGTTATTTACAGTTATATATTTGACCATCTCTACACATGTAAACAGTGCAAAATGAGGCAAGCCAAAAACACACCCTCGAGCATGACACAGCTGAGGTATTCAAAGTCCTCCCTCCCCCTCTCCCTCTCCCTCTCCCTAAAATATATAGATAACAACAACAACATCAACACACAATTTTCTTAAAGAGAAAAACGCAAGCATATACTTGAGAATATTTGGGCAGAAAATGTTAGCAGAGTCAGATTCATCTTAGCTGAAATACATTGTTGCACTTTTTGCATTGAATTTTATGATCGCTAACAGAGTAAAATTGTTATTGCACTGATACATTGTTTCACTTTTTATTTATTAAATTTTATATCAATTACAGATTATTGCTGCACTTTCTCCATTGAATATGATTGTTAACAGTCGGCTAACAACTTAACTGTACTGTTATTGCCTCCTACTTATATGTTCATGTTTCCTTAATTTAAGTAATCATATTACTCAGTCATTGGAATCACAATTTTTCTATTTGAAGATTATTCATAACTTCCTCATATCTTTAATGATTATTACTTACATTTATGGTCTAGAAATCTTCATCAAAATATGAAGAAGGTACCTGCTCATTAACCTCCCAATCAAGAAACACAGGGTTCCTCACACAATCAACAAGCAGTTCCACCATTTCAGGAATATACGTCTTTAAAGCATCAAAAGTGTAACCCATCTGCTCTCTAGAAGCCGAAGCTTGCACATTGCCACCAATTGCCTCTATCTCACGAACAATTCGAAAGTGACTCCGATTTCTAGTGCTCTTAAAAGCCATTCTTTCTAAAAGATGTGTAGAACCAAAACTTAAAGGGGTCTCATATATTGAACCACAATCCACGTATAAACCTATTGAAGCTGTAGGAGTCTGAAGAATCAGAAAAAATGTGATCAATATATATATGTTTTATTCTTTTTGTAAAGATATATACATATATTAACCACGTATATATATATAAAAAAAAAAAAAAAAAAAAAAAAAAAAAAAACAATGCATACCACTAAAGTCTCGGAAGCTATTTTCACTCCGTTCGGGAGTGTAGTAATAATAGTTTTAGCAGGTTCAATATAATCCGGCAAGGAAGGCGGGAGTGTAGCCCCTGGAAGAGGGAAATCCAGAGGTGGTGCAGAATTGGATCGTTCTCCGGTGAGCCATCCAAATAAACCAGAAGAGGATTGTTTCGAGGCAACAGAACTGGCAAATCTGACAGGTAGTCTGCTGCACGAATGGACCTAATAAAACTCAAACTATCAGATAACCAGATTTTGCATAGGCACTAATCAATTGAAAAATCAAGGTAATTTTGTTACAATCAAGAATAAGTGATGAGATCTAGGGCATAACAATAAATTGATAAAGGGAAATGGAAGAAGAAAAAGATACAAACAAACCCTAAAGGTCCTAAGACGTGAAGCAACGTTCCTGTACATGACTGATGACAATGGAGCTTGATAGTTGAGAATGGTAGACAAGTTGAGGTTTGAGTTGAAAGATTGTAGACAAGTTGAGAGAACAAAGTTCCGCTGTCTTTCGATTCTGGGCTCTTTAACCAGCCCATGAACCTTTTGTTATGATTTTAATTTATATTAATAAAATTAGTAAAACTTAAATTATTAAAATTAGATATATAATTTTTAGTTTAAAATAAAATTTTAAATTAATAAAAAAAATTACTTATTATTTTAAGTTTTTATCATAAGTTTTAGGAGATCACAAAGTATGTATAATTATTTTTATATCATAAAATATAGTGTCACAAAGCAGGGGTGATTTCAGAAGTAAAATTATTTTCAACTTATATTATATTAATAGTTAATTCGTAACAACAAATTTTTATACTTTGTTTTGTAATTGTGAAAAGAACGAAAAATATAAATAAAATTGGTAATGCTACAAAGAAAAAAGAAAGAAAATTAAAGTTATAAAAAAATTAATATAGTATTTTTTATAATAAGTTTAATGAATGTTGATTTTATTATATTTTTTATTTTTAAAGAAAATTTATTTTCATTTTTTTTAATATACAAGTGCATAAGTAATAAATTATTGTCCTAATACAAGTAATAAATTATTAAAGATAAATAATATAATTAATTAATTAATTTTTAAATATTATATCATTATATATTATAAAGTTAATCATAAAATTTATTTATAAATAATTTTTTTAAAAAAAATAAATTTATTTTAATAATATTTTTATAAAATTAATTAAAAATCATTTATTTCACATAAAAAATAAATATAATTTTCACTTTTTAAAATAAATTTTAGTAATAATTAAACATACAACGAAATCGATTATCAACATATTTAATGTAGAACTAAATATACCCTCAATTGTCATACATGATTTTATATTTTTAAAAGAAGAAAGAAATATTATATTTAATTTTAACAGGTGATATTTTAAAAGGATAAACATATTTTGTTTTCGTCTACTTTAGTGTTAAAGTCGGAAATAAATATATCTAATTAGGAAATAGATACAAAATTACTATTATGTTTTTTTTTTAATTTAAATATCTTCTTTTGTAATATTAACTTAAATCTAATATAAATTTTATATCTAAATTTTTAATTTATTTTTATTTTTAGACTATTTCATATATCATAAAAAAATTTAGTACTACATAAATATGTAAAATCATTATAAAATAATTCGTATGTTTCAAGAATAAGCTTTTCAGATCTTGTTACCATAGGTTTACTATTCACTAATTTGTTTCCTTCCTTCACTGATTGTTGAACCTTAATATTTACTACTATTAAACAAAACTATTATTGATATGAAATGGAAAATATGTTAACTAACATTGCAATTAGATGCATATTATTACTTATTAGTATTATCTTAAGTAAAGAGTATTCATGACACAAGTCTACTTTAAAAATTAAAACAATAGATAAAATTATTTTAAATTGTTTATTTAAAAAGTGACCATGTACCTTTATTTTAAATTAATATATACATTTTAAACACATTTATTTTTATTTTGATAGTGATAGCTATTATAGAGATATTAGGAGATAAGTTTCAACCTCCATTCATATACACAAACATCGATCTATTATATGTTCAAATTTAAAGAAGTAAATCACGCTAGCATAGATAAATTTAGGTAGAAAAAATGGTGCACACAACTATCATGGAAGTAACATACTTTTTTTTAACATCAGCATACTTGTTCAAGGAGCAAACAAAGTTGTTAATTTAATATTATAGTATATAATAATATGACTATTTATTTTTTGTTTATTTTTCTGCACATTTTAAAAGACATTTAAGTGTAAAATAACAAATGTATTCATTTTATTATATTCAATTAGCTATTATTGTGGATTTTTAGTTCTCTGTGTTCAAATTTTTTTTTTTAACTTTTATTATACTGAGTTTGGCATATTTAATAAGTTGGTTTATATTTTATATATACCAAAATTCTATTCAAACAGGGATTGTGTTATATAGCATAGTGAATATTTAGGTTGAAGTGTGGTGCACAAAGGAACACACTTTTAACATAACTATAATAGTAAAAGAAACAAGCAATGTTGAGTTAACATTTAAGTGTATATATTGTTTCTTTTATTTATTCATGTTGCTTTATATTTTAAAAGACATTTAAGTTATCCATTTAATTTACATTATTTTTTTAATATATTAAGTATATATTCTGTATGCTTGAAATTGGTATATGCTCTCTTTGTTGTGAATATATAGCAAATTATGAATTTGAGTGAAAAACCAATGTTATATTGTTGTATGGACCCAAGGCTCAAAACACCTTAACTAGCAACAAGGTAGCAGTATATAGCACGAAAACAAAATAGGGGAGATCAAAATTAGAAAAATCACATGTCAATTTATATTTTATTAATTTTTCAACATTTGCTAGTTAAGAAAGATGTTTAAAGGTCAAATGATGATAACTTAAGAAAGCCATAACACATTTCTGTGTTAATTTTAAAATCTAAATATATTTTTAGTTTTTTAAACATGATATAAATTTGTATTTCATTCTTTAAATTTTAAATTATTTTTTAGTCAATTCAATGTAATTGTTTTTTAAAAAACTTAATTTAGTTCTATAGCTTAAATATTGTTAGTGAATTAGTGGAAAAAAAACTCATCCATTATTGAATCTTTCATACAAAATATATTTATCTACAAGTATCTTTATTAGTGGAAACACGACTTTAAGTCTATCTAATCTTGTATAACTTACTTAATTTATCACTACTAATAATATTTTTGTGGTTTAAGAGTTTAAAACGAGCTTTCTTCAAATTTAAAACTAAAAATATCAATTTCAAATTTGATTAACCAAAAACAACATTACTCTTAAATAAATGATTAAAAATATATTTAAATATAATTTTTAATCGATTTTTATGATTAATATAAATGTCTTAGTCTTTCATAATAGTGATCACTTAACGTGCTTCAAAGACAACTATTAGAGTTTACCAAAAACATATGAATTTCAAATAATATAAAATGATACATTTGTTATTTGAAATAAAAAATATTTCAAATAAATTAATGAGAGAAATTAAAAAATGAGAAAAATAATAACCTAACTTATTTTCACAAGGTAGTTGAAATAGCTTGTGAAATTGTTTGTTTAACAAATAAACTTATTTTGAAGAATCCTGTAAAAAAAAAAAAAAAAAAACTTATTACAAGTTATTCACCAAATACACTCTAAATAATCTCTGAAATTTTAAATATAAAGAATGAGTCCTTCATTGTTTTTTAATACATAATTAGTCCATAAAAAAGTAAATGTATATAATGCAGTCCTTTTAAAATTATCAATGACATGAATTAGTTATCAAAAACAGTAACTAAAATAAACGGAAGATTAATTTTAAAAAATTATTCATTGACTCTTTTGATAATTGTGGTAAGCAGACCGTGAGCCCATAAAATACAAGATTCCAATTCATTATGATTTTGTAAGTTCTATCAAATTCTAATTTAGTGGAAACTCAATCTCTTGGCTGAGTCTTATTTGAAAAGTAAAATATATTTCTACAAGATGCAATTGGATATCAACCTTGTAGTTTTCTTTAACGCGTGTGTTGTGGGGTTGACATTTGAAAACCTTGGTTTGGTTTGTACCCCACCACTGACGAATCAACTTGGTTTTGATGGAGAATTGATATCAATGGTTTTGACTGGTGCAACCATTACTTAACACCTTCCATGAAGTGAACCTGCTTCTGGTGTTATGTGAACTTCCATGCTTTTTCTTTAGTACTATCTATGGTGACAACTGACAACCATTCAATGCATTTCTATTTTCTGCTGTCAATATCGAAAAAGACTTTCTACACAGTTAGCTATGTCCCTTCCTACGATTTCGACCTAATTAAGGAGCCATGACTTGGGCATGTTAAGCTTATTTTTTTTAATGTTTTCTTCACCGTAAACGTGAATGATATCATTTTTTAATGTTTATAAGAAATAAAAATATAAACATTAATGATATCATAGATTCATAAATAAAAATATATAAGTTTGATTTGGATCCAATTATATTGATTGTCAAAATCAAATATGAATTAAAAAAATTCAAATTTTTAGTTTATAATTTTTTCGAGATTTGACTTATTCAATTTTAAATTTGTATTTTTTTATTAGATTAAATCAGTTTATGAACAATTCTAATTTGTAGTATTATATTTATGAAACTGATGTGAATGATATTGTTTACGGTGGATTTCGTTTTATGGATCTTTTTTATTCGAACTAGCACGATTTTACGTTTCAATTTATGCGTGTTCGTGACATGACAGAATTGAAGACTTTCAGTGAAAAAATAAAATCGTACAAGTAAGAAATAGAGTTTTCATTAAATGGTAACAGAATTACAATTCGTAACGATAACGAAACGTGTTTAGAATGACTACACTACACTAGACTAGATTATGCTATGCTACGCTATGCTATGCTACTCCTAAAAAAGGAAAAAGAAAGGTGGTCGAGAAATCGTACCCAAAGCTGTCTCGTACGCACAGTATGCCTTATGCACAGGCTGCGGAGTGCATGTGAGGTATTGTGGGAATTAGATTTTCGACCTGTGCTACGAGCATGGCTCGTTTAATTTATAGACAAAAATCTGGGAAAGGTAACTGTTTCTGACGTGCCCCGGAAGCGCATAACCGTTCTAAACTTCCACGTCGTGGCTTATTCCCGGGCACGTCTTTGGATAACTCTTGGAACTGCTCATTAACTTCCCCAAACCGTTTTGCAGCCTTTGACACTTATCCCATGATTTACTTCAACCGCTCTTAAATCGTGTCTCCTTTAAGCTCTTCATTCCGAGAGGTTGCGAAGTGTGTTCATGTATGTCCGGATTCTTGGGATTTCGAGTAACCAACGAAAAATATACTCGAGTGTTTCCTGATTTTTCTTGTACTTTGAGAGGTTTGCGAGACTGTGAGCCTTTCTCTTGAGCAGCGTCCTTCCTAGTTCAATAATTTCGAGAGTTTCTTGAAAAGTGTCTTCGTGTCCTTTCTCAGAAACTTCTTTGCCATTTTCCGA